GGATGATGGGCCTGGGTGGAGTCGGGAGAGGCAGCGATAAGGCTGAAGGAGAGATGCTAGATCTAACCTTATTGACTTTGTCCACAAAGAAAGACAGAAAGTTCTCACAGTCTGTAACAGAGTGGATGGAGGCTGTAGGAGAGGCAGGAGAGACGATGCTGCTGATGGTGTTAAACAGCACCTTGGGGTTCCCTTTGCTCTGGGACACCAGGTTGGAGAAATAGGAAATCCTAGCGTCTCTGACTGCAGAGTTAACGGATGTGAGAAGATTCTTTAGGTGCAGCAGATGGACGTGGAGATGGGTTTTCTTCCACAAACGCTCAATTTTTCTGCATTGGCGCTTCAGGCTGCGAAGGCTGTCATTAAACCAGGGAGTAGGATTCACTGCAGGAACTGATCTGGTTCTGACAGGACAGATGTTGTCCAGAATGGAGAGGCAGTGCTCGTTGAACTGAGAAGTTAAGGAATCTGGGTCGTTATCAGAAGAACAGGGTGGATCAAAAGCAGCAGAAAAATTGCTAGCTGTGCTCTCATTAAGAAAACGAGAACTAACCATACGGCGAGCAGGAGGTGGGGACGCAGAAACTGACAAGTTAAAGAAAATGCAATGGTGATCTGAAATATGAACGTCCTCAGGACAAACACTGTCAGCATTTATACTCAGGGTAAAAACAAGGTCTAGAGTGTGCCCCCTGGTGTGTGTGGGGCCAAAACATGCTGGGTAAAGCTGAAGGAGTCCATAAGGCTGGAGAAATTCATGGCAAAGTGATCAGAGGGATCATCAACGTGGATGTTAAAGTCACCAACAATCACCAGTCTGGACAGCTTCACAGTGGAGGATAGAAAGTCACTAAACTCCTGAAGGAAAGAACTGTCTGGACCAGGTGGACGATAGACCACAGCACAGTAGAACGGGTCCTTACCCCCGACTTTAATCAGCTGCAGTTCAAAGGAAGCAAAGTGACCAGAGGTTGTAGAGCTACATGGAAGATGGTCTCTGAAAACAACAGCTAGGCCTCCACCATGACCAGAAACCCGGGGCTGGCTAAGAAAAGAATAACCACTCGGGCAGAGTTCAATCAGACCAGAATAATCAGTTGATTGCTGCCAAACTTCAGTCAGAAACAGAAAATCCAGGTTTTTAGAGAGAATTAGATCATTGAGCAGGAAGGTCTTATTGTTAACAGAGCAGGTATTTAATAGAGCCATGCTGAGTGAGGTGGAGGAATCAGAAACTACAGAAACAGCTGGAGTTAGTGGACGTAAGTTAGCACGATTAGATCCACGGTGTTTATAAAAACCACTTATGGAGGGAACAGGAGGAGAAACCACTGAGGAATGAGGATAAACTGACCTTAAAAACTTGGACGGATGAACCGCGCTGCAATGTGGCCTGGCGGGAATGCGGAATTGGCACTCAGGCCACCAAACAAAGGACAAGAAGCTAGAAGATCACACCAATGTTTACTAGATAAACCACGCCTTAAGAGAAGTCTTACTTTCACCTGGATTCCTGCTCGTTTACCTTTTTTCCTCCAACGTTTTCCCGGGACCGAATAAACATCGCTGGAGGTGCACTGGTTGGGATTGTCGTTTGGCTCCTGCACCAAGGCAGACGCGGTTGAACATCGACTGGTGAATGAGGGTGTAATCTGAAACTGTATCCAGAAGAGCATTGCAGCGGAGCACCTGTTCTAGTGTCACAGACACCAGAGGCTTACCAGCTGTCCCATGAGATAGGAGGTGTACCAAGAACAGTGTGGCAGACTTGACACCAGGGGCCGCCGTACCATTGTCACAGGCGGATGAGTTAATCATCAATGTGGCAGGATCAGATTTGTTTTTCAACTTCTTGAAAATCAGAGTCAGTGAGCTTTTCTGGTTGCAGGTGTTGTTCCATATCTGGAGGCAGATCAGCAGAAGAAAGGGTTAAGACCTTTCCAGGGCAGGAAGCGTTCTCAATAGCATCAAGTCTTTTATCTAAAGATAAAACCTTTTCATCCAACTTTATAATATTTTCATCCAAATTTTGGAATTTCTGGTTTAAATTGGAGAACTGCTGTTGCATTTCCTGTCTAATTTCAGCGAGAAAATCCATGAAAAGTTAATCCCGGTCTGCAGCCGTCTTGATGATGCCACAGAACACTTAATTTTGTGATGAATTAAGTGGAAACTGGATTTAATAGCTTTTGCTGAAGCTGCCGGACTAATACCTGCCAATAGGTGGCGGTACCGGTCGATGATGGAATCTGTTCAGGGAAGAAAACATGATTGCGTGACTTCCTGGTCTCCAATCTCTTCAATAACAAAAGAACTAGCAGAATAGATCGTTCTTTTTAAGTATATTGGATTAAACGCGGTGGTTTATAAACCAAAATGTGTAATGTACCAGAAAACACAAAAAGAGTGTAATGTACGAGAGGTGCCAAGAGTTGGCGGTAGAGCGCCAGGCAACAGTGCGGGAGGGGTAGTGTGCGTCACTCTGTGACGTCACTCCGTTACTCACAGTGACACCGTCCAAAATGGTGGACTGGCCGGGTGGAGACCACTTTCTCACAATAGAAGTCAAAAAAATGCCCAAAACTACTAAAACCATGCGAGTTATGACAAAGGCAAACGCTGAGTCGAGCGGTTGACAGTGCTGTGGGTTTTGTGTCCGCAGGCGTTGTCAGGCCTTGCTAATATGTAATTTGATTTAATTTAATTAGCCACTTAAAGGCAACAATATGTTCCACCTTGAGTTACTTCTTTAAAAGCCACATATTGAATTGAGCTAATTAGTATGTGTGTTAATCAGCAACAAACCATTTACTGTCAGCTAATAAAACATTATTACGATAAAACTCTTTATGGTCTAATAATTTATGGTCTGTTAATGTTAGAATTACGGCTTTAGTAATAAGCTATTAATAAGTGCTTAATAATGACTAGTTCATACTTAGTAGTCCACTAATATGCGTATTAATTGGCAGCTAATTAATGGTTAATTTGTGTTCCCTAAACTAGTGTTACCCTTATAATTGTTAGCTGTTCTTGTTTTGGTGCTGTTTGTAGGGCGTCTAAGCCTCATCCACGTCATGGGTCCCTATAGCTACACTCTAACCCGCTATGCCTCACGGCCTGAATTACACATATGCTGCACTTTCATTTAAATGCTAAATACTTATGTGTGTTTCGACTTTGTCTGTCAAATAATTTGAGATTTCTTTTCCTGTAAAAATTCCTAATTAAAATTACGTTGCATGTGACATCACAGCAGAAGCTCCTCCCCCTCAGCGCAGCTGCTCCCTGCCACAAGGCCTTCTCCTCTTGGTTCGATGACATCATTTTAGTGAGATGAGCAGTTGTAGTTCTCTACGTCTGCTCACACAAAGGCTTCCTATTGATGGACAGCAGATCAGACCAACTGTGTGTTATAAACATTAAAATAATTAAGTGCTAATAAGTCTTTATTTGTGTGACGTTAGTCAAACAGCATAAGTAAGTAAATTTACTTGCATGGTGGCGCAGTGGTTAGCACTGTTGCCTCGCAGCATGAAGGTTGCAGGTTAGAAACTCGGCTCGGCTGTGGCCTTTCTGCGTGGAGTTGCGTGTTCTCCCCATGCAAGCGTGGGTTTCCTCCGGGTACTCCGGTTTCCCCCACAGATCACAACGTGCCCTATAGGTTTGAAATTGTAAGTCGCTTTTGATAAAAGCGTCTGCTAAATGAATAAACATAAATTAAGACACACCCATGTCTCAGATGGAAGCTCGTCCAACAACCGAACTAGAATAGAGGGATGTCGGATTTGCATTAAACAACATTACACTTCATAAATACTATCTATTATGGGTTTTAAACGATTATTAACTCATGTAATGTTTTAGCACTAACTGCCTGAATTTTATTAAACAATGTCAAAGAAAAGGGTTTGATTGCTTTTGTCTTGATGGAAGTTAAAAGTTGACTTTTCTGGTTGGAACTGGTGAAGCCAACATTCACACTCAACCATTTGGACCCCAGTTATCTCTACAGCATGCAGCAGTACCTTTAACGTGTTTATGGTTCACAAGGTACCGTTTGACTCAAGCATCTTAATCTGCTTTTTTATTAAATTAATGTTAGATTCAATAAATTCTTGGTAAAATGATTTAAAAAGGAATCTTTACTCTCTGATTGTGTTTCTGCTAAATGTTAGGAAAACTACACAACTACGGCACATAGGCATGTACATGCACGTTGTACAAAGCAGAATCTTGGAACTGTGTTAGTGTGTGTGTGTGTGTGTGTGTGTGTGTGTGTGTGTGCACATGACTGTGTGTGTTAGAATATCTTTGTGCAGCTTTTCCCACTGCAGCACAGCAAGTTGTCAGAGGTGGTTAAGTCCTAGGGCTTGAGCACCTCTAGATACTCTATCTCTCTCTCTCTCTCTCTCTCTCTCTCTCTCTCTCTCTCTCTCTCTCTCTCTCTCTCACACACACACACACACACACACACACACACACACACACACACACACACACACACACACACACACACACACACACACACATACACACACACATACACACACACATACACACACACATACACACACACACACACACACACACTCACACACACACACACACACTTGGATCAGATCAGAGAAGGCTTTAATGGTGTTCAGAGGCCTGACTGGAGTGTTTTGCCAACACTGCCTCAGGCTGCTTTCTGCTTGTCCATCTAGCCTTCCATCGCTCCATTTATAATCCATTCATACTTTATCATTTCAATTTTCTTCTTCTATTTTTTCATTCCATGTTTCATTTGTGTGTATTTGTGCTATTTAATTCTAGCTTCACCACATCTGTGTCTCTATTCCCATTTTCTTCATCCTGTCCTCAGACCCTGATCTCCTATGAGGACACTGGTCTCCTGCATTATCACAGTTAATCAGACCGTTTTTCCTGTTTCTCTAACTTATCCTTTCATTTGTAAAGCCTGAATATTCATGACTATCTTTATTTCTGCGTTTTAGAGTTTCAAGCAGAACGTTGACAGTCATGGTCCTCTGAAGGAAAGCATCATGGAGGAAGGCCAAGTGCTGCTCAGCGCCATCACTTCTCACCAGTTGGGTATGTTCATATATATGTCCACCCTTCCTTCCACATACTACACACACACACACACTGGATACACAATATAGCACACACAGGTGTTCATAATCGAGTCACAAGCCTGTTCCATTCATTATTAATATTTGGATTAAGAGCGTGACCTTCAAAGAGCAAATTTCATATAAATGTAGCCAAAACAGACAGAGTGAGATAAACCCAGCGGCTGAGATGGGGAAGAAAGATGGTGAAGCAGACAAAAAGCTAAAGGCTGAAAAGGCTTCTGTTGGAAAGAGAATATGAGTTTGCTTAAGTGCAGCTCTTACGTTTCTACTCAGTGATTGAGCCTTGCTAGTAACCAGGTACCACCGCTTTAGCTTGAGCTGGTTAGAGTGGTTTAGCACTAACAAGAATAGGTTACAGGTCTGGTGCACCAGGCGGTGATGCAGAAGGACCAAATGAAGTCGACTGAACAGGAACCGAGCAGCTTCATCAGAAGTTCTCTAAATTCATTTAAACCTGAAATAATAATGTTTTTATCTTCGTGTGAATAAGTTAATGCTCTCCTCCTTCACTCACAATAAATCTGCTGTGGTCTCATATCAATGAAAGCCTTTTATTCTGGAGCTCCTGTTTCAGGGGTGGAAGACTGTTGGAAGAGTGGAAAAGGGGAACGACAGACTTACCGGTCTTACTCATAATATGCAAACGTGACACCTCTGACTGGCTAACTGACCTTTGTTTTGGAGTTGCTAATGCTAATGGTTAGCTTCTACTTGCCAACCAAGGTGGGCGGGGCCACAAATGCAAATATTCCCAGCGGCATTAAAAAAACAGCTTTTTCTGGTTTACTCATTTTCCTTTCTCCTTTTAGTGGCTGATGTAGGCGATGGTGGTTGAAGAAAATGTTCTTGTTCAGCATGCATGTGCAACAAGTGTTTTCTCCGAGAACGTGACCTTTAACGGACCAATCTACAGCTGATTTTCCTGGAGATTTACACTTTATCTCAAACATGCTTCACAATAGTGTGAGTCTAGCATGCGCTCTAGCCTGGCCTGCCAGACTCGTCCTCTGAATAATTCTGCACACAGAAAAAGTCTGATAACTCACAGGCAGAGAGGCACATGAGGGGCGGGACTAGGCAGCTCAAAAATAACCAATCAGAAAAAAGACGGGAATGCCGACTATACCCGTGACACTGTAGTTTTTTAGCTGTAGTAAAAAAGGCGTCTGGCGACAGCGTAGACGTCTTTCTGTAGAAGAAATGCTTTTAGCGCTTCTACTTGTTGTTTTAAAGACACTCAAGTCTTTTAAAGAGGAAAGAGCCGCAACAAGCTCCACTTCAGTCGCCATGTTCATGACAAACTCGGCGTTGTGGTGTGTGACGTACGATACTCAGCGCTGATTGGCTCGGTTAGAATTCTCAGGGGGTGGGGCTATTTGAATAGGAGAGTTCCCAGACTCTTTCTCTGTGCAGAATTAACCAGAGGAGGAGGAGTCTGGCAGGCTACAACGCTCTGACCAGGCAGGTAATCGTAACAGCATATTGGCTCCATGGTGTTTTACTGAAGGCAGATGTGTAGGTCTGTGGGAGGGAGATGGACAAGAGCAGCAACAGCCTTTTAGTGGTTAGTCTGGTCTAATTGTTCTCAATAGTTCTGCTTTCACACTTTTACCAAGAAGTACGTCTGTGTAAGTTAGAAAGGTTTGTATTTACATTAAACAAACAACAGAAGAGGACACAAAACAAGAGTAGCTTCATGTGACAGTTGTTGCTAAAGCTGAAAGAGGTAGAACCATCCAGTGAGTAGAGGAGTTGGTGTTGAGCTTAACGTGGATGGAGGGATGCGAGGCAACCATGACAGGTCCGAGTGCCGGACCTGCTGCCTACGAGACAGAAGCAGATTAGGATGTCAGGGATGACATCTAAGCTATAGACAACCTGACATAGCCTTTCATTTCCCCTTTTTACCCCTCTCCTGTTTTCTCTCATGGCTTGTTTTTGTTTTTCCTTCTTACTCCTGTCTCACACGAATTTATCCCTCTGTTTCTCCCACTCCAGCTCTGAAGGATATCCTCCATATGGTTGCAAGCCAATGGGATCAGCTCCAGCGGCAAATCCGGCGTCAACATGGCTGGATGCTCCGCGCTCTCCGTTGCATCCAGTCCTGCCTCCTCTACACCAGCCAGTCACATGAGCCTTATACAGCCCCACTGGATTCATCAGCCCATCTGAGACCATCGTGCACCACCGAAGGCTTCAAGGTAGGCAGTTTTAGGGGTTTTATTTCCCTCCTTCTTGTTGCAACGCAAAGATAAAAGACATTTTATGTTTGTCTGTACATATACATATACACACATATATATATATATATATATATATATATATATATATATATATATATGTGTATATGTATATATATAAATGTATATGTGTATATATATATATATGTATATGTGTATATATATATATATATATATATACATATACACGTATATATATATATATAAATATATATATATATATATATATATATATATATATAGTTCAGTTGTTCCTCCTTTGTCCCCAGCACACCTGACTGTTGTAGCTGCAGTCGGAGCTGCAACAACCCTATCCCTAACCATCTGTGCATTTTTACGTGTTGCGTAGCTTCTTGACTATCTTTTGTACTTTCACATTAACAGTTCACACATTCCTCATATTCTGTCTTTGCATTTGAAGCTTTAACCATCAGTGCCCATCACAAAAGTAGTGTTGGTAAACCACGGGATGTGACCCAAACTGTAAAGTTTTTCTACTTAGGAACGACTTAGCTGTTCATATTGTTTAACTCATTAACTGCCAGCCATTTCCTGAATAGAAACACAATTTTGAGCGTTTTTACTGTTTTTGACTCACCTCTTACATCTTGTTCTCACGGTGCGGGGGCTTGTTCTGACACCTACACAGAAAAAAAATGCAAATGACGAATTTTGTCGTCAATGGCAGTGAACAAGTTAACAGACCTTTCACTCTGCCACCAAAAGATAACAAAGGCTGAAAAACTGAACACAACCCAACTCTTAGCCCCCCCATAGCGATGAATACATCACAGTGACCATTGCTCTGATGTCCTATAGGCTGTCCATTTGTTTGAACGACAACTGCAGATTATGGGTCGTTGCCAGACTTACACTTACGTACACAGAATGGTCAGCTATGAGAGACGTTGACCAGAATTTAATATTAAAGCTAAGCCTACAGCGCGGTATTGGTGGTTTGGAAAGTTATAACTTATCTTTTAAGCTTTAGTGGGTTTAGAAGTTCTGCCAATCACATTTGATTGACGTTTATACAATCATCTTAACCTTAGATCACTCATCAGTGTTGGTGTGAATACATTCACTGTAAGGTACATTGTTTATTGCAGTGTGCTTTGCACTTACATCAAGCCACTTCCATGATTTTAATGTGATGCATCATTTAGACCCATCAGACTACGTTGCTTTGCTGTGTATCAATTATCTACTGGGGCTTCCTAATGGTCACATTATGTCATGCCTAATTACTGTTGGGCAGAGTTGTGTGTGTGCGTGCGTGTGTGTGTGTGTGTGTGTGTGTGTGTGCGTGCGTGCGTGCGTGCGTGTGTGTGTGTGTGTGTGTGTGTGTGTGTGTGTGTGTGTGTGTGTGTGTGTGTGTGTGCGTGCGTGTGTGTGTGTGTGTGCGTGTGTGTGTGTGTGTGTGTGTGTGTGTGTGTGTGTGGTAAAGGCAAATTGCAAGGTCAACCAACAGCATCACATTTAGGTGTTTATGGACCAAAGTCAAAAATCTAAAGCAAGGAGGACCAAGGGCAGATAGTTGGTGAAAGCTCTTCAGTTCATTTGTTGAGAGTGTTTTTTTTTACAGCAGTGGTATCTGGTCCTTTTTATGTAAAGGTACATTAGTTTATATCAGTCTACCCGTAACTAAAGGGTAAAAATACATGGTGCATTCAGGTGATTCAGTTTTAATAAAAAAATAAATAAAAATGTTAATTCACTCAATGATTAACACAAATGTGTCTTCTTAATCCATTACTTTGTTCTTTTTTTTTACAGAGCTTAGTGGCAATAAAAATATTTTTTTACCATACATGCTAGTAACGATAGCTTTCGTCAGAGTTAGCCGGTGTTGGTGGCATTACTTTTGTTTACAAACAAATGTGTCTTTTTAACTTCCTACTGATTTTCAAAACTTATTTTAAGTCAAGCTCTTAGCTGTCCAAATAGTCCGAAACATTTTTACTGCTGACAGTAGAGGTCTGTCTGTCCGTAGGCCGTGGATGTTGTGTTGGCGTCAGTATTTGTTGTTTGCATTCAGTTGTTATCTGACTCTGTTGTCTGGAGGAAGAAAGACACACTTTTGTTCTGTGTGTAACATCATAATCCATCACTTTGTTCCTTTTGTAACGCAGCACAGTAACAATAGTCGTTTACCTTGAAGCTGACATGTTAGCAGGATTTTTCTGGCACATTATGGGGTTTGGGACTGCGTTTGATAGCACACACACACCCATGTGTGTAAACCCAAACACACACAGAACAGGTGAAATTACATTTTCATCATCAGCCCCAAAAGTGTGTTTTTCTTATTTTATGCTTTATAATTTGAATATATTGTCTTGCTTAAAAAGAACATGACAAGAGTAAGATAATAGTAATCAGATTTATGGAGCAGCACATAAAAAACACCCTCATTATCAACATTTAGGGTATTTACAATACAGTATATATATATATATATATATATATATATATATATATATATATATATATATATATATATATATATATATATATATATATACTGTATTTTCATGTCATGTGTGTGTGTGGGTTTAAGTGTTAGTCTGTGTATGTAGTGGTCATAATGACTAAGCTTAGAGGTTAGAGAATAAGGTGAGGGAACACAAACAGGAAAGAGAGTATGCGTGCGTGCACCTGTGTGTTTGTGTGTGTGTGTGTGTGTGTGTGTGTGTGTGTGTGTGTGTGTGTGTGTGTGTGTGTATGTGTGTGTGTGTGTGGTAAAAACCTTTGTACACAGTTCCTGAGACAGTCAAAACAGAGTTTAAAATATGTTAAAAACCTGCATGAACGTCTGATGTGTGTGTGTGTGTGTGTGTGTGTGTGTGTGTGTGTGTGTGTGTGTGTGTGTGTCTGTGTGTGTGTGTGTGTGTGTGTGTGTGTGTGTGTGTGTGTGTGTGTGTGTGTGTGTGTGTGTGTGTGTTTGTGTGTGTGTGTGTGTGTGTGTGTTTGTGTGTGTGCTTGTCTTATCAGTGTTGCTAGTGAAGACAGCTTGTTGGCCCCAGGCTTCTATTTCACCCATGCAGACCCCACAGAAAAGGACGGAGGGAGGAGAGGTGTTAAAGAAGGGGGAGGGGGACAATGGCGGAAGTGTAGTTTGATGAGAAGGTGTTTTCCTAGAATCTCCGTGGGAATGGAAAAAACAAAGACATAAATAATAATCAAACCTTCCAAAATGGTAAAATCTTTAACTGTGTGAAATTCGTGTGGACGAGGGGAGGAGTGTGGATGTTTCTGTCAGATCTGACTCCGGTCTCCAGACAGCCAAAGTTTTCCCTTTTTGACTTTGCACAGATTAGAGCTGTAATCCTCGGTATGAGCTACGGGAGTGAATATTAATGTCTTGCTATCACTAGATGGTTGGGCAAACAGGCTAGATAACACATGAAACACATACAAACATGCGTCTCAGACTGCTATCGAGATCACTCTGGTTGTAAAGCTTTACTTGCCACACTCCAATCAAGCACAGTCTCAGCTGGGCTGGGACCTTATGGTAGCCTTTCATTATCACTCATTCACATCGAGGGATCACTTCACTGGATAAATGCTCATCATGCTCTCTGTGTTCTTCTCTGGACTGGGAGCGCCATCTGCTGCTATGCTCCTTAAAGGTAAAGTATGTAAGAATGATATCCTGTGGTGAAATTTGGTTACTGCAGCCCATTTTTACTAACAAAACTTCACTTTCTCACTTCTGTGGGTTTCATGGCTGTTGCCTGTCGCAGATGTTATTACGGTAATACGCCTGCAGCATGAAGCCGGGTGGACGCTGCAGTGTGTTTCACTCGTAGTGTTCAGCTTTAGCTCAAACTGTTCGACTTCCTCGCAGAGCACATCTCAGTCGTGTGTTCACGCTGTATGACCCAGTTTTCAGATACAACCTGACAGCTCACTCTTTTACACGACATGCTGGACTTTTTACTGTGATGTTACTGATATCTGTCGTCCTTCGGGAGTGCTGCTGGCACACACACAGGGATTCATGGGGGTTGGAGGAGGAAGACGAAAGTAAATTCATGTTTTATCAGTTTAATTTGACATAAACACGGCAAACACACTTTCTTGACAATCCTTGTTATTGTGTGTGGGAAAAAAAGTATAAATAAAAATGAGCAACGCGTGTTATAAGGGAACTAGCTGGCCAGACGTGCTGATGCATGTTAGCGGTTCTGGTACTTTTTGGGTTGCAGCTGCTCGCAGGGCCAGTGCGACACACTCACGAGGGACGAGCAAAATATCACACACCCCAGAAATGTGTGTGAGCTTACTACTGCTGATCAGCAGCTGGTCACATGGTGTTGATCGCCTCTCATAACCCCCTGTACACTACACGAGGCTCAGCGCAAATCTCGCCCCAATCTTGTAGATTCTCCCCCGAGGTGGAAAATCGGCTCCAAAACGTGACAAAGCCGTGCAGACGCCCGGCTTTAGAGGAGCGTTGTTTGCCGTCTGGCTGTTAGCTCTCTGTTATAGTTCTGAACAACTCATCAAAGAAAGTAAAACGCCACAATTCACTCATTACTCACTTCACACACACATTTCACTGTAACAACAAGTAGCTGGAGATATTTTTAAAGCTGACCATTTGCTTCTAATTTACCTTTAGCCTTGTTAGCTCAGTGCCAGCCTCTAGCCTGCTTCACCCTATGTTAGAGAAAACAAAAAGACGCTTCTTTCCCCGGTTTCACACTGAAAGCATCAGTGGAACGTCGCAGCTTCAAATAGAATCCATTATAGTCATTGGAGTGTTTGAAACCAGCAGCAGCGCGGCGGTTTCCAGGCGCGTCCCAGAAGCGGCATGCTGCGGTGTGGCCGCGCCACTAAACATGGGATCAGGTTCTATTTTTGCCGTGAGCCGCTTCTGGGATGCATCAATTTCTGCAGTTAACATAGGGCTAGACAGGAAATGACACACGGTTTCAGTGTAAAATCTCTTG